GGGGTGGACTTAGTCCTGAAAGTTGCCACCAAGTCCGGCTGCCTGAAGGGCACGTTCACCCGTGGCTTAAAGGAGGCTGCCGCGGATATCAGGGAGATGGTTGGCATTCTCCTCAACAGGACGGCAGGTCGCAAAGTTACGGGAGGAAAACAGCCGCCTCAGAAATGACCTAGAAGACCTCCGGCAGCAAGTCCCAGCACTGAGCGAGCAGCAGCAGAGATGTACATCCACCGATGCCGCATGTGTAGTGGCCCCGACTCCCGCACCGCGACCGACAAGCCCTCGTACCGACGAAGAGGTCGAGCGCATTGTCCGGCTCTGCATGCTCCAGTGCGGGAGCATGGTTAACGCTCGGCTGGAGGCGATTTCTCGGCGTCTCCCGGCGGAAATCCTACGTCCGCCTTTGGCGGCTGACACGCGGAGGATTGAGGAGCCGCCGAGACTTGCGCCTCAAAAGGGGAAGCCCACGGAGGGTAAAAAAAAGCCCGCGTAGGGAGCTCCTCCGAGCGACCAGCCCACGACAGCCGGGTCTAAAGGTGAGACATGGGCGAAAGTCGTGGGCCGCAAGAAGGCCCGCAAAGCCGCCAAGAAGGCCGCAGCAGCTGCTCACGCCCCAGGTGGAACTGCAAAGACGGTTCCTCAACCTGTGCGGCGGACTGCCAAAGACGGTCGCAAGAAACCGGCTGTACGTGTTCCACGGTCCAATGCGGTGACACTAACATTGCAGCCCGGAGCTGTGGAGCGTGGCGTGACGTACCAGTCGGTTATCGCTGAGGCCAAGGCCAAGATTAAATTATCAGATCTTGGCAGTCCGTCACCCTCAGGCAGGCTGCCACGGGTGCGCGGCTGTTCGAGGTGGCTGGCACTGTGAGCGACAGTGCCGAAAAGGCGGACGCATTGGCCGCCAAGATGAGAGAGGTCCTCAACCCTGAGGACGTCCGGGTCTCCAGACCAATGAAAATCGCAGAAGTGCGGATTGCTGGCCTGGACGACTCCGTGAAATCTGAGGAGGTGGTGGCGGCCGTTGCCAGAAGCGGAGAGTGTCCGCCGGACAAGGTGCGGGCCGGCGATATACGCACCGATGCCACCGGACTTGGCGCGGTCTGGGTTCGGTGCCCTGTAGCGTCGGCAAAGAAGATCGCCGATAGCGGCAGATTGCTGGTAGGCTGGGTGGCGGTAAGGACGAAGCTACTACAGTTCCGGGCTTTGCAGTGCTTCCGGTGCCTGGAAAAAGGGCACGTCCGGGCGAAGTGCACCGCCGAGGTTGACCGTAGTGACCTTTGTTACCGCTGCGGCCAGCCTGGCCACAAGGCGGCCCTGTGCACCGCGGCGTTCAACTGCAGCCTTTGCTCTGCTGCGGGAAGGCCAGCGGAGCACAGAGTAGGCGGAGGGGCCTGTGGGGCGCCTACCAGCAAGGCCAAGGCCAAAAAGGAAAAGAAGAGGAGCACCAAGCTTGCCGAGTTAACCTCGCTGCCCACACAGGCCAGTAGCTCCGCGGCCGACTCCCGGCCCAGGACCGTTGCCGAGGGAATGGAATGTCAATAATGGTAAAGTACCATTTTCTCCAGGGCAACATCAACCACTGTGCCAGAGATCAGGATCTTCTACTCCAGAGCATGGCAGAGTGGTCGATTCACGTGGCTGTGGTCGCCGAACCGTACTTCATTCCCGCCCATGACAACTGGCTGGGATGCGCTGACGGGTGGCATTATTGGCGAGACTCTGATCGACCCGTCTCGGGGCCGTGGCTGGGTTGCTGCGGTCTCGGGTGGCATCGTTATTGTGGGGGTGTATTTCTCCCCCAACAAGAGTCTCGTCGACTTGTCGAGTTGGGCGCCGTCGTAGGCCGCTATCACCCTCGTCCCGTTCTGGTGCTCGGGGATCTCACTGATCCTCGGGGCGAGGTGCTAGAAGAGTGGACAGTGACGACTGGTCTGGTCGTCCTGAATCGGGGTTCGGAATACACGTGCGTGCGGCAGCGAGGCGGGTCGATAGTGGACGTCTCGCTCGCTAGACCCTCTGTCGCCAGCCGAGTCCGCGACTGGCGTGTCACCTTAGGGGTGGAGACGTTGTCGGACCATCGGTATATCCGGTTCGACGTCTCTGCCCAGACTGCGAGAGGCCGCCATCCAACTACCCCGATTAACGACGGCCCGCGTTGGGCGCTTAAGCGCATCGACAAGGAACTACTTGAGGAAGCTGCCTTAGTCCAGTCCTGGATCTGGGAGTCGGCAATGGACGGCTCCGTCGAACGTCGAAGCAGTGGCGCTATGGTTTCACGGGGCGATGACGCAGATCTGCGATGCTCCCATGCCCCGTGTCCGCCAACGGTCCGCAAGGCACCAGGTGTACTGGTGGACCGCCGAGATTGCGCAATTGCGCATAGCGTGCGTTGCAGCCCGTCGCCGGTACACCCGATACCGGAGATGGCGTCGACGGGATTCCGCCGAGGAAGACACGCTGTATGAGGTGTACCGCGCGTCTAAGGAGACTCTGTGGCTGGCCATCGGCGACTCTAAGTCGCGTGCCAGGGAGGAGCTGCTGGGGTCCCTAGTTCGGGATCCGTGGGGGCGCCCCTACCGTTGGGTACGGGGCAAGTTGCGTTCCTGGGCGCCTCCACTAACGCAAACAATGCAACCCCAGTTGCTAGAGACGGTGGTATCGGTTCTCTTCCCTGAACGAGTGGGACACGTTCCCCCGGCGATGGCTTCGCCCTCAGCCACAGACTCTCCAGAGGAGGAGAGCACCGATGTCCCCAAGGTGACACAAGCAGAGATGAGAGCGGCCATGGCGCGACTCCGGGCCAAGAACACAGCGCTCGGACCCGACGGAGTTCCTGGTCTAGCTCTCGTCCTGGCTCTGAAGGAGTTGGAGCCCCAGCTGTGGGGGCTCTTCAGGGCATGTCTCGAGCAGGGTAGCTTCCCAGTGTGTGGAAGGAGGGAAGGCTGGTCCTACTCAGGATGGAGGGGCGCCCCGCGGACTCCCCGTCCGCGTACCGGCCCATAGTGCTGCTCGACGAGGCGGGCAAACTTCTTGAGCGTATCATCGCAGATCGCCTCGTCAGCCACTTGTGCAGAGTGGAGCCGGACCTGGACGAGGACCAGTTTGGTTTTCGTCGCGGGCGCTCCACCATAGACGCTATTACGCGCGTGAGGGCCCTGGCGGAGGAGACAGTATCCCGGGGTGCGGTGGTGCTGGCGGTGTCTATTCTACCCTGGAGTTGTATTCGGGAGGCGCTTAATTACCATCGCGTGCCTCCCTACCTCCGCCGCACAATAGGGGCTTACCTTGAGGAGAGATGCGTCACGTATTGGGGACGTGACAGCGCTGGTCGGCGCGGCTGGTCCGTGTTCCGCAGGGATCGGTCTTGGGACCGCTCCTGTGGAACATCGGCTACGACTGGGTGCTGAGAGGTGAGCTCCCGTCGGGCGCTGACTCTACCTGTTATGCAGACGACACGCTCGTCACACAGCCCGGGGGAGCTCGCACAGGGAAGCAGCGTTGGTTGCTACGGCTGCGGTTTCACAAGTGGTGAACCGCATCCGGTGCCTGGGCCTGGAGGTGGCCCTTAACAAGTCGGAGGCCATGGTGTTTCATGGCCTTCGACGCGCGCCGCCACCGGGATCGCACATCGTGGTCAGCGGGGCCCGGATAGCTATCGAGTCCACCATGAAGTACCTGGGATTGGTGCTCGACAGCCGATAGGAATTTGGGCTCCACTTCCGGCGGCTGGCGCCCAAGCTGATGCGTGCAGCTGGCGCACTTTCAACGCTGCTTCCCAACTTGGTGGGCCCGAGCACGTGGGAATCGTGCGGTCCATGGCCCTGTATGGGGCCCCTGTATGGGCGATGGATATGACGGCTTCTGCCCCCAACCGCCGGCCTCGCTATCGTCGAGGCGATCCGGCCAGTATTTGACGACTGGCTCGGGAGAAGGCACGGCTCCCTGTCGTTTAGGGTGACGCAGGTGCTGTCGGAGCACGGCTGCTTTGACAAGTACCTGTGCCGCATAGATAGGGAGCCGGACGCTCGGTGCCACCACTGCGTCCATTGCGGGGAGGACACGGCGCAACACACGCTCGCCGAGTGTGTAGCTTGGGAGGAGCAGCGTCGTGTCCTCATAAATGAAGTAGGAGGTGATCTGTCGCTGTTGGCCTTGGTGCGGAGGATGGTCGATAGCGCAGAAACGTGGGATGCAGTGGTGTCCTTCTGTGAGGACGTGATGTCGCAGAAGGAAACTGCGGAACGAGAGAGGGAGATCTCCTCTCCCTTCCCTGGCCGCAGAAGGCGCACCGGGCGAAGGAGAAGGGCGGACAATGCCCTTTTCCAGCCCCCATGAATGAGTCCAGGGGCGAGGGACTAGGGGAAGCCCCCGCCCCCCCTATTCGATGGACCCGAGGTGGAGGCACGCGTGGGTGTCGGCGCGTGCCTCTGAGGTGATACACGGGGTAGTTGAACACCTCACTACCCCGTGTAGGAGACGAGGCCCGTACAGACCGGGCCAGCACTAGTGTGGGGCTGCGGAAGAATTTGGATTCCCGCGGCCCCTCGCGTGCACGTGCGAGGACACACCGGGGTGGTTTTAGCCGGTAAGCGTCCGGCACACCCCTCCGCCTTTCCCCAGGCAGAGGCAGTCCATGAGGAATTCCCCCCGTAAAAAAACGATACCGGCACTAGATGTTGTGTGTGGGCTAGAGTTTCTATTTGAAAATGTCATTAATTCAGATTCGAACGGTTGCAGTTGCCAGAGTTTGCTTTACAATGACAACAAATGAGGCTGAATCGTGGCCCTTCTCGTTTCTCACATGTATAGATGCTTCTTATACTGGCAGTAAGTATACTTAAATATTGACCGCCATTACACGCAGTCCGTGATTTCCCCACTATCCCATATTTCATGCATCAAAGGCAAGTTTCAGAACTCTAGCTTATATATCTACAATAGTGTGAATTAGCGTGTACATTTTCTAATAGTATTTTTTGGAAAATTATGTTTGGTGTTTAATAAAATTCCGTTATAATATTAACTAAATAGAAACAATATACATACACGAATATCTTCCCCCCTATCTCATATTCAACAACAATGTTTTGCAGCTGGGATGTGACTTCTACCATTGAGGTTAGCTTGATGCGCTTCGTCAGCTTTCTAAGAGCAAGGTTGATGACTACAACTTTGGGCGGACAGGTACATCTTGGAGACTCCACAGTTTCTATTATGCCACTATCTAGAACCCAGACATTACCCTGTAAAAATCAAAATAAGTGTACTTAACTGAAAATTGTTTTTGTTTCGTTTCTATAATTATAAAATAAAAGAAAATACAAAATGTTGAAATTCATTAAATATAGGAAATAAAGAAAATTAAACAACAAGTACTATAAATTGTAACGCACTGGTTTAGAAAACATCTGAACATCAGATATTTTTCTGAAATGGCATTATTGTTACTTATTTGTAAATTGCATAATACGGTACCCACGGAAAATTAAAATGCTGTTTGTTAGTTTCATAACTAGAAAGAAGATAATTTCAAGTGATCCTAGAATATTCATGTATTGTTATATGTCTAGCATAAATTGGAAGATAGTGTTGCAATGAAGTTACTTGATTAGGTTTATTATAAAAACTAAGGCCTGTTTTAGATTTTGAGTAACAAGTGCGAGTGGCACACTCTCGCTCTCACAGAAGACTTGAGTAAAATAACAGCTTAATGCTGCTGTGTTTCGCATATTGAGTGTCTCTACACTTCTGTTCCCTAACCGGAGACCCTTTTTGCTGAAAGCGAGGCATTCTATCTTAGTCCTCAGGGGTGGTAACGCATTTACATTTTGAATCTTAATCGAGGATAGATGTTGATGTATATGGTGTCTTGTCATTACTTATAATTTTGTTACGCACAAGGGCCTGCGCGCAAAGACGGTACGGCATGGCACGGCGCGGCATGTCAAAAGGTTTTTGTCGTGGAAAAGAGATTTGCGGCGTTATTTTAATGATCTTAGCACTGACATTCCTTTATTTCAACACGAATAGACCGAAACGTCTCGCGTGACATCACGCGGGACGTCACCGCATTCCAAGAGATGCCGCCGCACGTCACGGCATTCCATGAGATGCCGCGGTATGCCGCTACATCATGTGAAACGCATAGGTTACATTATGTTGTTAGAGGAATATGAGTGCTAAATAATTGAAACAAGGTTGAATCTAGCCCGTTGCGGCGGTAATATCAGCGACTTGCGCGAGTTCCCGATACTCGAGCGCGTCTTGACTTGTTTGGCATGCCGCGGAATGCCGCAGGATCCTTCGGTACGCCGAAGTACGTCTTACCACGCTTTGCCATCTGCGAGCGCAAGCCCTTATTGCGTTTAAACGGTTTTCTATTATTCTGGCATTACTTGACATGAACATAATTACTAATTATTATTATCCGATCTCAAAAATGAGGAGGTTCTCAAATCGACTACTTTTTGTTGGTATATAACGCAATATCACGAAGGAGATTTCGCGTAACATTTACATAGATGAAGTTTTTAATGTAATTTAAACTACACTCTAGGTCTAGTTGGAACCTTTAGTTTGTATTTTCCTTAGGTCACTCAAAGGGTTCAAAAAATAAACTTTTAATAATATACGTGAAGGTAATATGGTGGTTACCCCTATAAAACTAAATAGGAGAAGGGCAGAGACAAAAACACAAAGTCGTATATTATAACTAATGTATTAAGAAAAAAATAGCAAACAAGCTTTGGAAATAAATAGGAATAAATCGAAAAATCTAATAGAAAAATAACTACACTGCACAATACAAAAATGGACTAAAATATTTACTATACTACTGTCAATTGTTAAAATGGTGTCGATAACGCAGCGCTCTTTTGACCCTTTATTATTTGATTGACTGATGAAGAGCTATCGTATCACAGAGGCATCTAAGCAAACGAGGCTGTAGATTTTGAGTTATAAGATAGTGACCATATTAACCGGATGACCATATTATCACCCTCACGTACTATAGATAAAATGTAAAAGCGGACTTTAAAGCACCAAAAATAATTAAATTATATTTTATTTTCCTGCCGATTTTGATGACGAAAATATTTTTTCCTTTTTAGTTATTTAAAATTAGCTTTCGTTTTTATGGGTAGTATTAAAAATAATTTTTTTTTTCATTTTAATTTACTATTATAGCACTATACTTTGCAGAAGAATTAGAGCGGTCAATCAGGCGCCTTTACTTTATTTGGATTTTTTTAAAGATTTGCACAACCTGTGCACTGCTCTTGTAGTGAGTACTACTTTTTATGTGTTCTAGTACGTACGTACTACGTAGTACTATTATTTATTCTGTGCTTCTAGACACTACTACATCGACTCACCCGTACAAAGTACACAAAGTGTAACATATTTCGAAAATTACTGGAGTGGTGTATATGTCACAGGAAAATAACAAGAACCGCAACTTTATAAATTTCCTAGCAAATTTATAAACCTTCGTAGAATTCTAAACGACAGATAAATTGTATTATTTTACGCCCACATTTTTGCAAATTGATAAACTTACCGAACTCACGTGTAAAACAATAAGTAAGCAATAACCAAACGCCATGTGCGCTCTGATTGGTTGAATAAGTCACGTGTTTCTTCTCCTTCGTCTTCACCGTAGGCATGTCGATTCACTCTTAAAAAATCGATCTCTGGATCGATTTGAATCGAAGATACAAGAATCGATTATCGATTAAATCGAGGATTAAAATATCGATTTTCGATTAATCGCGACATTTTCAAACATGAAATTTCAAGAATTTGCAATCTTTTTCTTTAATTGAACTTTAATATTTTTTTAAATAAAATATTAGTATATTATTAATTAAAATTACTAATATTCCTTTTAACCACTCCTGGTTCCTCCTGTTCGTCGTTCCTGGTAAGCTTATGTTAGTAGTGGTTCGCACCTACGCCACTCAATCCCCCTTTTTTTACAAAGTGATTCCATGTATCCCTTTTATTTGACATTTTAGGCTAAAAACAACAACAATACTTTAACAAAAGTGCAAACTGCAACGTACATTTCTCGATAAATCTGTTTCAATCTAATAACTCACTATTTATCAAATTGAAATGAATGCTACACGAACACAATACTGGTTATTTCCTTACTATACACCTCTATAAACGTCAACATATAATATTTATTTACAGTATCTAGGTATTTAAAAAGTACTCTGTCTGTACTTACAGCTGTATGTATGTTTTGATAGTAAAGTAATTCACAAGTTCACAGTTCAAACAGGTTCACAGGTATAATGTTATATTGTACTATGTATATGCCGTAGACAGCGAAACCTATAGACAAATTGACGCCTTCTTTTGCATTCGCACACGAAAAAGATAGATTTATGCATACTTCTTGCATATAAATGAGAAAGGGCGGTGTAATCTTTTGTCTCTTTCTTCGTGCCGGTTTTTTGTTTAGCAAACTACACTTTGCTAAACAACTTTGACAGTTCGTTGCGATCTAAGGAGTTTACAAGTTGATTTAAGTGAGAAAGAAAGTGTTTTGTGAGCTTAAGATTGGTGAATCTTGTTCAGTTCAGTTCTTAGAACAATTAAACATTTTATCGAAATATGTTTAAAAGTCATAAAGATTATTTTAAAACCTAAAACCACGTTATCTTCCTTTCTCACTCGAGGCCAAACTAATCATTAGTCTGTAGGTTTCTCTGTCTATGGTATATATAGTCTTTGTTCACAGCACAGATTAAGTTAGACCAACATTCCACAGGTAAGAATACAATTAGAATTTTAGAAATGAAAATGAAATAACATTTTTTCGTTCTTTTTGGATGCGTTCATAAATATTTTTTTTATTCAAATATATATTGCGTTCAAATTGTCAACCGAGTACAACCGGTTGTTTTGGGTCCCCTAATAGCAAAAAATTAAAAAACTGAGGTATCTTATCCTAGCCAGTTTGGAAATTTTATCGCTGGTTCTTAAATCAGATGAATCGGTCCGATTCGAGATGTTTTTAGATCGATTCAGTGAATCGATGCGGTGCTCCGAATCGATCTAAAAATTTTTTTTTAGATCGATTCGATTAATTCGATTATTATACTCAAATGAATCGATTTTTTGATTAATCGATTTTAGATCGACATGCCTACTTCACCGCCATTGTTCGCCACGGAATGTAAACAAACCGGCTGCTGGTGTGTTTTTGTAAAGTTTTTAATGTTTTAACCTGTGTTGGAACTGTGTAAATAGTTTTATTTTGCTAAGGTTACTACGTAATACCCATAATGAGCGACCTAGAAACTGCGAACAGCCAAAACGGTGAAGATAGTGCGGCAAATGCTATAAAAATTGTTGACGAAGTGAAATTTACCACAGAGCTACGAAAGTTTTATAGTGGCCATGACCAAAATAGTAAGAAGTCGGAATGGACAGAGGAAAAAATTAAAAATGTAATTAAAATGATAGAAGATTTTAATAAAGCTAAAGTTTTGGGACGTCGGCCCACAGATAAAGAATACTATCACGCCAAAAAGTATGATATTATGACTTTTAAACCTCTTAAATATCGTATAACACTATTTCTGTTGTTTTATTTTGGTAGTGTTAAGTAGCATTATTATGTAAAAAAGTCTACTATTTTAAAGTAAAATTGATAAATTTATAGTTAGGCTAGTCTGATTGTTCCTAAGTCTATAGACAGAAGCATTGCCGTATTATTAGATGCCGTGTTATTTGACGTATTTTAAAGAAGCGTAAAATTAAAAGCTCTTCTGTGATTGGTCGGACCGTTTAGAATCTTACGAATGGAAATCCGTTAGTTTATAAATTTACCACGAGACTTCGCAAATTGATAAATTTGCAAAAATATGGGCGTAAAACAATACAATTTGTCTGTCGTTTAGAATTCTACGAAGGTTTATAAATTTGCTAGGAAATTTATAAATTTGCGATTCTTGTTATTTTCCTGCGACATATACAAATATGTATTATTTTGATAGCTTGATCTTTAGGCTTTTAAATAACATTATTTTCATTAAAATTTGTTCAGTTCTATTTTTATATCGTTATATCCGTGTAAGCATCGAAAATGCGCTTTGTACGGTACCCGCGTGGGCGCGTTGTAACCCCCTATGTAACTCCCTGCAAGCAATGTACACTTATCTGTCGCTCATCAGACGTTGACCTGAACACAAACAAAAACAGTTTTACCCTAAGGGTGGGAAAATGG